TTTTTTAGACTCGGGGATATCTAGTTTAGAAAGCGGGCGAATGGAGAGAGAGAGAGAGAGAGAGGGGGGGGGGGAGATAGGGATTCGATGAGTGTGTGAGTAATTAAGAAGAAAAAAAAAGAGAGAGGGAAAAATGATTGGGTGAGTAATTGAGTTTGTGTGTGTGAGAGAGAGAAATGCGCACGCAAGAGAGAGAGAGAGAGAAGGAAGAGCCAATTGAGCGGGAGTATAATGTGCGTGTGTATGTGAGAGAGAGAGAGAGAGAGAAGGAGTGATAGAGAAAAAGAGCGAGAGAGAGTGAGACTGATGAAAGAACGAGATGTAAAAGAATCAAAGATGGGATGAGTGTGTGTGTGTGTGTGTGTGTGGGTGTATATATGTGTATAAGAGAAAGAGATTTAGTTATAGTGAGTAGGGGATTAGACGGAGGGAGAAAAAAAAAGGTTATGTATGTGTTGTGTGAGTGGATAAGGTAGAGGTTCTGTGAGTGTGTGGTGTGTGTTGTGTGAGACAGAGGTTAAATAAATGTGTGTGTACTATAAGATAGAGAGAGTACATGGGTTCGTGTTGAGGTGTTTGTGTTTATGAGAGAGAAGAAAACACTTACAGAGATAAAATTAGTAAGAACAAAATACAAGAACAGTACATGTTGGGGGAGATGTGGTTAAATGGACTACTACTAATAAGCTTGGAATGATGAAAACTGGTTGAATAATAATTATTAGAAAATATTCCGCAGACAATTGGGCTTTTAACAGTTGCAGTGAAACATAACATGCACATAAATAATAACAGCGCCGTCTAGCGCGGATGAGTGAATATGCACATGTCTTTTATCTAAAATAAAGCGAATTTAATTATGCAATCACAATCTGCTTTATTAATGCTTGGTGCATAGGATTATGAAGCATATCCATCTTCTTTCTGCAAATACCATATAAAATGAAGGTTTTACTTCGGTATTTTTTATCAGACCAAGCCACCCCGCCAATTTAACACAGCAAGCATCACCTTTAGCACCCTTTGAGTTTTGAATTCTTTCTTTCCTTTTTTGTTGTTAGAGACTTTAAGGATATCGGGACAAACTACAGTAATAAATATATAAACTCTTAACAATTCCATATAATACAATAGACTGACCAAAGTTCAAAAATATGTTGCTCCATTCGTAAATACAATTGTTGTCGATAAATAAACAAAAAGACAGAATGAAGAAAATTTGATGATAGTCGAACAGTAAAGGTACCTTAAGCCTCCACCCCCCACCCCCACCCCCACCCCCATCAATTAAGAGGGCCGACGGCTTCGAGTCCTCTCCAAGTGACTTGGTAATGATGACCAATGTCTTACTAAAGCGCACGAGCGCATTGACTTGGTTGGGTTCGAACTCGGGACCTTCCGGTTACGAGACCACTGTTATACCACAGAGCCATCGCGCCTCCACATTACAGAGTAATGGATAGTATAAATAATAGTTTATTGCTAGTTTGTTAATTGCTGTCAAATGAGCCTTTTAACACTTTACATTAGATCAAACAAATTACATTTATATATATCATTGTTGTCATTTAATTATCTCTAAGGGTTATCAAAGCTTGGATAAAGACAAGTGTAAAATATATCTGAGAAACAAGTGGTGATTGGTAGAGAATTAGGAACTCTGAAGAAAATTGTTAATATTGAAATATGAAAAATGACGTCACTAAAAGCGTGGGTAAAATGTGAACTGGCAAATATGGCATGAGACTGTGACGTATTTCTAGCTTTGCTAAGTAAGTTTATCTTATTTGTTTTCTTCAAATGCTCGCCTGCCTATTCTTTTGCTGATCTTAAAGCTTTCCTAAAAGTGACTCCCTGTAAAGATTTGACGCATCTGTATGACTGTTATTTTGCATTTTCTTTAAATGTTTTGTATTACAATCATACAAAGAGCAACTAGGAAACGACAGGAATGTAATAATCACGTAATGTAAAAACATGAATCAGTTAATAAATTCAAGTCGATTCAATTCAATTTTATTTCGTCCGATAATTACATTGAAATTCATTGTTGGATTTTACATATTGCGTTTACATTAAAATCATGTCTAAAAAGACATCAAAAGCATGACATTTAAATAAGAAATAATTACACTCAAAATCGGTGAAAAATTGGAAAAACATAACACGACATCGACACAATACCCAAATATACATAGTAAAGAAGCCTCAAGATTTTCAACATAACGATAGTACACAGTACCCCGATCCTTTCCCTGACACTCATAGTGCACGCCCGGAGAGGCATAGAGAGAGACAGAGACAATGAAAGATAATGAGAGACAAAGATAGAGAGAGAGAGAGGTGGAGAGGAAGATATATATATATATATATATAGGAGTTGGAAAGGTTAAACTTTATTGGTAAGAGTTATACAGACTGTTTCGCCAGAACGCTCATCAGGCTATATATATATTTTATATAAAATAAAAAAGAGAGACAGAGAAATAGAGAAACAGAGAAAAGAAAGATAGAGAGAGAGCGAGAGGGAGAGGTGGAAGTGAAGGATCGAGACAGGGGCAGAGAAGGAACCCCAACCCACAGTTCGGGCATACCCGAATTCATATATAATTGAAAAAAACAATATCCCTATTAATATATCGTTTTCAATACCGAAAGCTTATTTATGTGAAACCTGTCTTTAAAGGCCACTCAAGGGAGACAAAACAATCAGGTAAATCTTCATGTACATTTTGTATAACTTCCTCCAATATTAACACACTTCGAGAGAAAGAGAAATAAATGCAGTATTTCTAGACGGACGATCATTTGTATACGGTTGAAGCATGACAGACGATGAAGCAGCTGTCTACCATCATTTAGACTAGAGGCTCAAAGAACAATTCAGATTGGTGTTCTTTATAGCATCATATTCGGATCGCAACATACATTGTGTCCATAGCTGGCGCTATAACCCATATCATTAAGCAGAGCAAATCACATCTCTAAACAGTTTTTTACAGTAAAGAAGAAGAAAAAAACCCAGCATATAATGATATAAACACGATATGACAGAAGACAATAAGCAAACAGGTCTTAAACATGAAAGACGGATATCAAATCAACAAAATACAAAACTATAAGCAGATTTCATAATATGGCAGTATGAAAGACATTTAAATATGCATATACATGAATCTACACAAATTGACGAGATGAAAATACCCCATAAACATAGGCCTTCCCATATTATATTGTACAATATATAAACTGCAAAACACATAATTATGCAATTGTAAGGCAACGTCATTATATCCAACTGATACAGTAGGCTTATGGTTCCACCATGTGAAAAGGATAGTCGGTAATCCCTCTTTCTTGAGTGTGTGTAGTCCTAAAAAAGAGACTGTTGGTAGTCCTGAGAAGGAATGTTGGTAATCTCTCTTGAGCTTCTAGTTCTAAAGAGAACTAGCGGCGGTAAAAGAGGATGGGTAGTAGGAGGGGCTCGACATTTCAAACAGATTGACTATCCACCGTCGGGATAGGAAATAATCCTGTGCTTTCCATGTACATGTACAACTTGTTAATATATACTAGAATACTGTTTAATGATGTAATTTAATAACGAATACATTTAGAGGCTCAACAACAATTCAGATTAGTTGGTGTCCTTTATAGCATCATATTCGGATCGCAACATACATTGTGTCGATGCTGGCGCCATAGCCCATACCATTACATAGAACAGAGACTGAAATTCACATCTCTAAACAAATTATACAAACAAAAGAAACATGGAATGCTATACACAGGATATCACAGGACAAAATCGGCCAACAGGTCATTGGACATTAGGGTAAATTAACACTAAGCTTAGCACTTGATCATATGATTGAATTTTGCGATTGATTGCATTAATAACTATGTGCAATACATTGGAAATTGTAACGAGTATTTACAAATGATGAGGCACTTTTGACGGGACTGTATAATTAGATACCGCTGATACAAGTACCACCTCATTAAATTTGCATCATCAAAATACATTGAAATGGTATCCGGCAGTAGATACAGCTAATGCTATAATGAACAGAATCACTGCCTAATTAAATCTTCATCATAAAATTAAAACTGGTATATAAATACAAGATAAGTACTTGCAGTGTCAGAACATTAGAACGACAATCAGAGATGATGAACCAGTATCAAATTAACAATATACCAAATGGAAGCCGACTGATTTAACAATAGAGCAATGTGAATCATATGTACATACGCATGTCGAGATGAAAATACAAAAATAGAAAAATATATCATACATCATATACCGTCTGAAATGAATGAAAACAATATGATTATGCAATCAATAGTAAGCAACATCATAATATACAACTTATACAAATGATCCTAGTGTGCTTTATATAAACATGTACAGCAGTTAACGTTAATACTAAAATAAATGAAATCATTTTGTTCGGCTACTATATTAGGGTAGTACACTAATGAATTAATATTGCACTTGTTTAAAATCCACTTTCACATACATGTATATACATGCAAGCTGAAAGACTCGTTTATTGCACTATATCTTGTATAGATATTTCACACATCACAAAGATTTCATTCCCTTCTTTTTCTGTAACATAATGATATGTGTCAACCTACAACAATCACTTACATACATTTGGATTCTTGTCATACGATTGAATTGTCAAAGGAATAGACCGCAAACGATTGGAAAAGTTATGTCGCATAATACTGTATGCTGTGAGTTTTGGGGATCATCTATCGAAAGCCACGTGGACCGTTCACAAATATGGATGTATGGGACTACACAAACATGTGGTATGAAGTTTGGTCCAGATATTTCAGAAATTTATTGTCATATATATCAACTATGAGAACATTTAATGAAACATTTTCAGGTTATTCTTTTTTGTGGTACTTTCCCCACCAACAAAAAAAGAAGAATGAAGAAAACTCACAACTTATTCTTGGCTTTATCCAGAAAAAAATTCAATCTAAATTAAGGCACAGCAACGACATGGCGTCTGTCGGTTTTTCTTCGTTGGAGATTCAAGCACAATGTACATGTCTTCCTCGGAACCATGGCTCCTTGATTGGTTGTCCCCTCCTGTGTCATCTTCATCGGTAGAGTCAAGTTCAGGAATATTTGGGATGCCTTCCCCTCTAGGTACATGAAAAATCACATCGATCGATATTAGTAGAAAATAAGGAAGGGTAAATATCCCTCCAATACTAATGATGATAACAATAATATTAAAAACAATAATAATAGTGCTTATTTCAACATTTCCATTTTGAAACATGTATGAAGCATGCCACCGGAGTGTTGGCTCAATCAGTAGAGCGTCCGCCTCACAACCGGGAAGTCGTGGGTTCGAACCCCGGCCGCGTCATACCAAAAGACGTTAAAAGATGGGAGTTGTTGCTACCTTGTTTGGCGTTCAACAATAAGGGATAGAGCAACGTCGATCTGGCGCTGCTCAGTGGCTGCCGGGCTCACGATCAATTGGGCGAAAAGAATTTCCGTTTCGGTTTAATCAGATTTGGAGTGGACAATTAGGCTATTATTATTATTATTATTATCATGCCAATATGACCATTATTTAAACAGAATACTTTTATCATCTAGTATAAATCACACCAACCGGTTTCGGAATGTTGATTATCGATTACTAAAATATTCCAAGGGAAAACTAAATTTCAACAGCTGAGTATATGATGAGTATATTGCTATCTTAAACTAATTAGTATGAAATTAAAGAATTTTCGAGAGAACTTGGGGAATGGATAACGATTATCAACATGATTAATAAGTACATTGAGAAAAAGATGAAGACATATAAACTTATTATATTGACCATACTAATTGCCCATTACACAAGAAAGTCATTGATGTTAGGTTATAATTTGTTTAGGAATAGGTTGGAAGATGAGAAGAGTCACCTAAACCCATATACAAATTGCTGTAGCGAACAACAAGTATTTGCGTGTGTGTTATGGTTCTCTTACTTTGGTTGTAGATGACCTCTCGTTACTACAGATGGGGCTGCAAAGTGATGAAGAGAGTGAGAAGGAGGTTAGAAAAAGAGAAAGAGAAAATAATTTTAAAAAAATGAGAAAAAGATAATGATGCGATAAATAGAAAGAACAAGAGAAAGAGGAAAATACAACTATGGGGAGTTGATCTTTCGCACATGTTTTGTGTCCAGTTGAAGCATGGTCATACTGTGTATTAATATACGATTATCATGCAATTACTCACTCGTCAACAGTGTTCCATGATGCATTTAAGTATGGAGTCGTAATAAAGAATACATGTACAGCCTCAAAACAATTCAGATGTGTGTTCTTTATAATAGCATCGTATTCTGAGCTGGCACTATTTCCCATATCATTACACCAAACAAAGAATAAATTTTGAATCTCAACAAGAGAGTATTCATTTAAAACAAACATAGAATACTAAACACAGAATATAACAGGACATAATAAGCCAACAGGTCGAAGACATTAGAAACGGATTTGAATCCTGAAAAGCATGGCTCTTTGTTTGTTTCTCACCTTTTGTTCTTTCATCTTCATCGGTAGAGTCAGTCTTACGGTTTGTTTTCTTTTGTGTCTCCCTTGGACGTCCACCACGACCGTCTTCATCGGAAGCATGGGTCTTTGATTGGTTGGCCCCTCTTGTGTCATCTTCATCGGTAGAGTCAGTCTTTCGGTTCGTTTTCTTTTTTGTCTCCCTTGGACGTCCACCAAGACCGTCTTCATCGGAACCATGGCTCTTTGATTGGTTGGCCCCTCTTGTGTCATCTTCATCGGTAGAGTCAGTCTTTCGGTTTGTTTTCTTTTGTGTCTCCTTTGGACGTCCACCACGACCGTCTTCATCGGAACCATGGGTCTTTGATTGGTTGGCCCCTCTTGTGTCATCTTCATCGGTAGAGTCAGTCTTTCGGTTTATCTTTTTGTTTGACTTCACTGGACGTCCACCACGACCGTCTTTATCGGAACCATGGCTCTTTGTTTGGTTGTCCCCTCGTGTGTCATCTTCATCGGTAGAGTCAGTCTTTCGGTTTGTTTTCTTTTGTGTCTCCTTTGGACGTCCACCACGACCGTCTTCATCGGAACCATGGGTCTTTGATTGGTTGGCCCCTCTTGTGTCATCTTCATCGGTAGAGTCAGTCTTTCGGTTCGTTTTCTTTTGTGTCTCCTTTGGACGTCCACCACGACCGTCTTCATCGGAACCATGGCTCTTTGTTTGGTTGTCCCCTCGTGTGTCATCTTCATCGGTAGAGTCAGTCTTTCGGTTTGTTTTCTTATTTGTACTCACTAGACGTCTACCACGACCGTCTTCATCGGAACCATGGCTCTTTGATTGGTTGTCCTCTCTTGTGTCATCTTCATCGGTAGAGTCAGTCTTTCGGTTTGTTTTTTTATTTGTCTTCACTGGACGTCCACCACGACCGTCTTCCTCGGAACCATGACTCTTTGATTGGTTGTCCTCTCTTGTGTCATCTTCATCGGTAGAGTCAGTCTTTCGGTTTGTTTTCTTATTTGTCTTCACTGGACGTCCACCACGACCGTCTTCATCGGAACCATGGCTCTTTGATTGGTTGTCTCCTCCTGTGTCATCTTCATCGGTAAAGTCAGGCTCAGGATTAATTGGGATTCCTTCCTCTCTAAGTACATAAATAATCACATCGATCAATATTAGTACAAAATAAGGAAGGGTAAATATTATTTTAAAGAAATATAGTGTTTCACTTCAATACTTACTATGATAATAATAATAATAAAAACAATAATAATAGTACTTATTTCAAAATTTCCACTTTTAGACATGTATAAAGCATGACAGTATGACCATTATTTAAGAGCAAAGACCAGTATTGAAAACGCCCCAATTTCAAAAAATTCAATGGAAGCTCTTATAACCAATTATGTGAAAGAATATGTTTTGACTAATACATGATGATAACAATTTTGCTGGGAAACCACCTACTAATTAATATATTTGATAAATTAGTTTATATATTGGACTATGAGAGATAAACGCACGTATCGCGCACGTGTGCATAGTCCCATACACACCTTTCTGTGTACAGTGATTGTAACTTTACGAAGACTGGGCCAAATTTCTTATCATTTTGATGATTCCAGAACCTTGCAGTACACACCAATACTTATATGCTAGATGATCAACCCTTTCTGATCGATTCCACATCGTTTCTATTTCACAATGCAATCGCATGACCATAACTGGTCTTTATCTTTAAACAGAATTCTTTTATCATCCAGTATGAATCACACTAACCGATTTCGGAATGGTGATTATTGATTACTACAATATTTCAAGGGAAAAGTAAATTTTAACTTTAGTATGATGAGTATATTGCTATCTTAAACTAATCAATATAAAATTAAAGAATTATAAAGAGAAATTAGGGAAGGGTCAACATGATTAATAAATATATTGATACAAAGATGACATATAAACTTATTACATTGATTATACCTATTGCCCATTACACAAGAAAGATATTTAAGTTAAAAGGTTATAATTTGTTTAGAAATACGTTGGAAGAAGATAAGAGTGACCTTAACCCATATACAAAATTGATGTAGTGAACAATAAATATTTGCGTGTGTGTAATGGTACTCTTACTTCGGTTGTTGATGACCTGTCCTTACTGCAGATGGGCCTGTAAAGTGAGAAAGAGAGAGAGAAAGAGATTAGGAAAGAGAAAGAGAAAACTGAATAGAAATAGTAAGAGAAAGATAATGGTGTGATAACTAGAAAGAGCAAGAGATAAAAACTATGGGGAATCGATCCTTTGCGCATGTTTTGTGTTCAGTTAAAGCATGGTTATACTGTGTATTGATCTGATGTAAATGCCTACTATCATGCAATTATTCACTCGCCAACAATGATTTAAGATGCCTTTAGTATGGAGTCTTAATAACGAACAAATTTAGAGGCTGAAAACAATTCAGACGGGTGTTCTTTATAGCATCATATTCGATATCTAAACATACAATGTGTCGATAGCTGGCGCTATTACCTATATCATTACACCAAACAGAGACTAAATTTCGCATCTCAACAATAAAATATTCAGAAAAAAAATATATAATGCTATACACAGGATATAACAGGACATATTAAGCCGGCATGTCAAAGATATTGAAAACGGATTTGAATCCTTGGAACCATGGCTCTTTGTTTGTTTCTCCTCTCTTGTTCTTTCATTTGTATCGGTAGAGTTAGTCTTTGTCATACTGTCTAGTAGTGAGCAAGTGTGGGAGTGATTGATGGAATATTTTAATTGAAGACTTGCATAATCACAGTGTGAAACTCATTATATTATTGTTTGTTGGAAATTATAATTCAGGCTAAATATTTTCGGGAATCACTTTCTCTCTCTCTCTCTCTCTCTCTCTCTCCCTCTCTTTCTCTCTCTTTATGGGACCCTGATAGGGTATGAATTGGAGATGCGATTTCATGTATCAAGTTTGCTTTAAAAGGAAAACGATTGAATTTGATTCGAGTAAGTAATATCAGAGGGCATTGTACCGGCTTCAAACCCATGTACAAACTTGGTAACTACGACTTAGATGCTGCCCCCACCAGCAGAGTTAATGCACAAAGTGGCAAAATACCTGAAGGTAATTATCATGAGGGCAAACAAATATAGACCCCTAACTATATTCAGGTGTTAACTATTTACACAAGGTGCAATACCTACAGAGTTTCACTGATTATGTATGCTGCTCAGCAACAACGGCGGAAAATATTAACGTAGCACACATGCTCAGAGAAGGGGGATTTATATAATGCATCAGACCCTTTCAAGGTAGGCAAGTATTCAGATTGCACATAAAACTGTGAAGAAAAGCTTTCCCACATTTTTTGTAAATTCTAAAGTGGTTGCTGTTTAAATTAATACCAAATATGCGTATCGCATGCATTAAAAGTAGTATGTTCCATTTGGAGGTCAACAAATGAAAATGTTTAATTCCAACGGCATTTGAAAGACAATTAATACTTATTTTGAAATGTATTAGAAATTGTGGAAAAAACGACCATTTGTTGTTGAATCGATATGAATGATTGCAATCACCTAAGTAATAGTCTGATTGTCCTTGCATAATTTGAATACAAGGACACTGCCAACGTTTAAATTTCCCAGATACATGACATATTCATAGCTCCAGCAAAGTTCTACAGAATTTGACGTTGGCTGCAAAAGGAACATAGTATCTTTAACTGTTGCTAGGTAACACAAACATTATAGCCTGTCCTACCCAACAGCACAGAGTGTATGCCATTCGCATTCTGACTGCTGAAATACATTTATCAATGAAATAATTTTTAACAAGGAAGTTAAAGATTTGAGCATTAAATTTGTTTATATTACGAAAATAGCCTAATCTAGAAAAAAAAGTAACTACATGGATCTTCGACTCTCAAGTTTGATTGTTATCAATTAAAGGGATAGTTCAGTTCTGTTTTCAGACTGCAAATACCTTCAAAGTGCATGGTTGTTGCTCTCATTCTTATCTATGATATTTCCAGTGCCTATTAAGAACCTAACATTATTATGAAGGTAATTTTAGACCCCAAAATGTGTGAAATTAAGCCAATACGATCATACCAATTCAGCTCCACTTTAAAAAAATACGGGGGCCGTTAATTATTTAATTAATTAATAATAACAATACAACGAAGCTATGTAAAATACTCAAACGAAGCTATGTCAAATACTAACAAACGAAGCTATTTTAAATACTCAAAGGAAAGGACTCATTACAAGCCTGAACAATTGGAGGCCTATTTATAATAACACTCCTGAACTACAAAATCATAGCAGCTGTTTTAGCACGTAGTTTACAAAAAGTTATTTAGCATATTATTGACCCTAACCAAACTGGGTATATTAAAGATACTATGTCCCTTTTGCAGCCAACCTCAAATTCTGGAGAACTTTGCAGGAATTATAAATATGTCATGTATGTGCTATCTGTGAAATTTAAACGTTAGCAGTGTCCTAATATTCAAATTATGCAAGGAAATCCGTTTACTTGCTAGACTTCACTGTCAGACACTATTGAGTGACTGACTGGCTTTTTTTTCTTCTTTGGTAATAACATACACTCTTAAAAATGTTTAGTCAGATTTGACTAGAAACTAGTCAAATCTGACTAGAATAAACGATCCCAGGGGCACTTACTAGTTTCTAGTCCTTTTGAACCGAAAAAACTAGTCACGAACGATAATGGATTAGATTACTAGTCAAACTTGTTTGAAAATGGATAGATTTCTAGTCATAATGACTAAAATCTAGTCAAAAAATGTGACTAGAAAATCTGATCAAAATCTGACTAGGTATTTTTAAGAGTGTACATAACATGAGCTGTAAAGGTTCCATAGCATTTGTCTACATCAATAACCAACTTCTTGTAATGGCCAAACTTAAACTGATTGAATCTTTGCGCAGCATAAAACGTACGACCATTCGGTATAATAGTCTGAAAATCAAGACAATTACTTATTGGCTCTATAGCTTCTAAGTCGATTCGACAACTAATAGTCATTATTTTCACACTTAAAGACATTTTCAAGCTTCCCTTTTTTAGGGGGTTTCTAAATTAGTATTATCTTTCAAATGCCGTTGGAATTTAACCTTTAACCTGGGCCTGCAAATGGGACATAGTACCTTTAAAGGTCGTCTAGCGGCACGCAATGTTCGTTTAACAAAATACATTATTGCATATATATGTTGAAGAAAATGTAACTGGAGCAATTATGATGGTAGATTTCACTAAAACATTCGATGTTATTGATATGCTTTTTGTAAATAACTGTTTAGAGAAATTTATCTTTGGTCCGTCGTTTCGAAAGTGGGTCGAGGCTCTTTAACACAGACATTTCAAGTTTAGTCATTGTAAATGGATGGATATCAGAGACGTTCCCAGACAAGAGAGGGATTCGTCAAGGCTGCCCCCTTTCAGCATTACTGTTCATTTTGGCAACTGAATTCATGGCTAATAGAGTTAGGAAAAATAATATCATTCAGAAATTTGATTTTAAATGGTGCCACTCTACACTTAAACTTTACAATATGCTGACGACACATTATTCTTTGTTAGAAATAAATATTATCGATAGAATATAATAGATGAATTGGACTTATTTGGAAAAGTCGCAGGCCCTAAATGAAATAAACATAAAACTGTCCTTTTCTGGATTGGAGATGACAAGAGAAGGTGGTCTCTCTTCGACCTTGATCTGCGTTGGTCAACAGAACCTGTATAGTACTTAGTGTATTTTATATCTGCAGACTTATATTATGCTACAAAATTTAGTTGGGAAAATAAATTGACCAAACTACAGAAACTCCTGGATAACTTGAGACGCAAAAACCTCACAATATTTGGAAGAATCATTGTTGTTAAAACACTGGCTTTAAGTATAATAGTTCATTTAATGATGGTAGACACGATTCCACCAAAGTGTCTGCAGAAATTGAATAAATTAGTTTTCAATTTTATTTGAAAATCCAAAATCGACAAGGTAAAAAGATCCATCCTTACTCAGGATTATAGCCAAGGGGAAATGCGTATGGTTAATACTGAGAAACAGATACTGAGTTTTCGTTTAAGATGGCTCGGTAGATTATTGGATGACAGTAAAGGTCCATGGAAAGATATGTGTAATTATTGGTTTGATTTGCTCGGTGGTGTAAATCTTCTGTTAAACTGTAATAAATTATTCGATGTCCAGAAATCGCAACTCCCTGATTTCTATCTAGAAATATTACAAGCCTGGAATTACGTAAAAGGTATTACAGTGAAAATTAATCTGTACAAGATACATTTTTTTCCTAGGCAAATAGTATGGCATAACAAGGATATTGTTTTTATTACGAAGTCTTTGTTTTACGCAGATAAGTTTGGTTGTGGAATAAAAGGACATCTTTGAAGAAATACATTTTCTGTATATTATATACCTGTCAGTACGCCTTGAGACCAAATAAAGCAAGCACAATCTTTTATTCGATTATACTAAATGGAAGAAAGCTATTCCAAAGATATGGTTTAGTGATCTTACCAAGGAAGAATCTGAACCAGTATATTCTATTCACCCTCTTTGGAATTCCTTATTTTAAATTTGGAAGAGTGTCCTTACCTATCAGTGACGTAAGCAGCAAACATTTCTACGATCTGATATCTTTTTTACATACATTGAACAACAACAGGTGCTGTCTTTTTTGGGAAAATATATTACAAAGAACTATTGACTGGTCTTCCATGTTCAAAAGGAATTTAACATATACAAGGGAAGAGTTCAATTTTAAATTGCTGTACAATATACTACCTGTTAGAAACAATCTTTACAAATGGGGTTTAGCAGACGACAGATACTGTCCCCAGTGCCATGTCATAGAGGACATAGTGCATGTGTTTAACGAATGTGAACAGCATAATAATTTCTTAAATTACATCAAACATGTTGTGAAGTACACGTTTAATATTGACTTTGTCATGGATATCTCCTGTTTACTTAAGATTAATATTGACAGAGAGATCGAAGTTGTAACAACGATCGCATTCTGGTGTATATATAACATGTTAGTCACCCGGAATAAGTATGGATTTAATGAAAACCACTTCAAACTAAGATACGTATTTGAAAGAGAAA